CTGAATAGCCTTGTTCGCCAGGCACATGTGAGCCAGGCCAACATCAAGACTGAGGCGTCGGAAGAGGACGGAGAAGCCCCGGCAAAATCTACTCCGACTACTGTTGAGACCCGAAATGACAGCCTCGTGTTGACATTGTTTGGAAATCCCGCAAATCCGAAGCAGCTTTACTCAAGCTTGCAGAAAACCGTCAAGGTTCCACTGCCTTCGGATGACGCTAATGCAGATAAATTTGTGGAGGTGCAAGCGCCCTTGCGCGAAATCGGCTTGCCTAACGGGATCTCCACCACCAAGGTGCAGCCATTTGAAGCAGAGACTACTGTCAAAGAACATAAGAGAACTTTCGGCGAGGTGTTCGCGCCTCGTTCAACACTGCCCCAATTAGAGGTGCCGCGCAAATCCAGAGCTTCTACTCGCACTGCTACCAACGGCTGGATCGATCCTTTTGAAGCCATCACCGACTATAAGGCCTTTCTCGGGGATCGGAACAATTACTGCCTTGCACCTCTCCCTTCGGGGCATTGGCTTCAGTATGGTGGGGTCACATCCTCTCCGTCTGTCTGGAGTCGTCGGCAGAAACAGCATTCTTCTCAGCAACCGGGCGAGGAAGTTCCAACCGATGACCCTGCGCTGAGCATTGACGAGGATGCTGCCCTTTTGCAAGGGGTGTACTCGTCTTTTGCTCCTTCTTTTGACAGCTCTGGAGCTGTCGAGCAAGCCGATTMCAAAAATCTGGTGTGGTGGAGCAAACGTGGAGCAAGACGTCTGAATACGCTCCTCTCATTACCGTACGTGGAAGATGAACAGAAAGATTCCACATCGGTGCAGCCCGGAAGTATCGGCGATCTTGACGAGTCCACTCTGGAGGAGATGGTGAAAACGTTCAACCCCGACKATTTTGCGGACAACATCGGGCATACAGATATATCTACGGAAAAGGACGATCAAGAGCGAGAAATGGACGACGTATTGCGCGATGTCTCTGATCTGCTAGAGACCCTTAGCTCCTACCAAAAGATTCGGAGTTTGGAGACTACGGCTTCTAGCGGTCAAGGAACCGAGCCTAAAGAAACGACGCCCGATGCCACAGGAGCAGACACTCCGTCGACGGCAGAGCAGACTGTGTATGAGACGCTCAAGTCAAGTCTAGCAGCTCTTGTCGCGACTCTGCCACCTTACGCTGTTGCCAAGTTGGACGGTGACCAGCTGGCCGAGCTGAACATCAGCCAAAAGATCCTGGTTGAGAATCCTGAGTACCAGGGCACAATGGAAAAGGATGACTATGCTTTGCAGCAGGAGCGTGCAGCTGCCATGGCTGCCACCAGCGGCGCGAATAGGACTTCAACTCCTTCACGTTCCGGTAGCTTCCAGGCGCAGTTCAACCAACGAGCATTTACGGCCAACGCGCGAACGCAGCCTCAGACTTTCCAGACGCCACAGCCTTACTACGGGGCAAGGCAGAACTCCACGCCAGCGCCATACACTCCTGGCCATCCTCAGCAATTCGCTGGAGCACGCCCTCCGTCAACACCGCAGCAGAGACCAGGTTACTTCCCTGGTTACGCGCAGCAGCCCACTCCGCAATACAACCAGTACCAACGTCCCGGCCAGAATGGCTACCACCCCTACCCGGGACAACAGGGCCCTCCCGCCGCGGGTCAGGGGTCTCCCCAGCCCTACACCCCGCGTCCCGGACAGCCTGCGCCCTATAACGCGCCCTATGCAGCCGGACGCAGCGCATCCCCCCAGAAACCTCCTTCATACGCTACTCCCCGGGGCTCTTTCGCTGCTCCAGGCTCAGCCAACCCACAACAACGGTTCGTGCCGCAACAACAACCAGGCCAGCAGCCCCCTCCTTATGGGAACTACCCCTCGAACCAAGCCCCGCCGCCATCAGGAGGATATTCCAATTCAGCTGCGGCCATGACCTATGCTCGGAGCGCTGCCGAACAAGCCATTATGATGGAGAGGAACAAAGTTCAATTAGCAGCAGCAGCCCAAAACCGGCCCAGCTCAGCGACACCACAGCCATCGGGCGAAGTCTCCCAAGATCGAAGTGCAACGCCCGGAAGCAAGCAGAACGGCACGCCTGCACCATGACGAGCGGGGCGATTGATGAGACACGGTCGAGATGTAGGGATATGAGTTTGATTAACACTTATTATTCGTCTTTCTCACTCTTTCTTACCTTTTAACTTTTAACAACTTTTTCTCTTGTTAACACTATACCATTCCAATTATTTCACTTCTTCCTTCCCTTTCCACTGGTTTTCTTACCACTCGCAGAGCTTAGAAAACAAATATTCCAGAAGAAAATAACCCACAACCGGGAAGAAAACAAAAAACAATACAGTGATGAATTCCAATACCTTGTATTGTGGTGGTCAATTCCATGTTGGATAACCTTTCCACTCAGCGACGATAACCCCTTACCTACCTACCTACCTACTCTACTTCTACCAATTATTCTAACTTCAATTTTCTTTTAATCCTTTTCCCCTCTGTCACAAGGCAATAATTTCCGTTGCTTTCTAGATTCGGCTTTCTTTTTAAGTTCAGGTTCCCTTTTATTTTACCCCAAACAGGACAGGACAGGACGGATGTTCTTAAATCACTGGTATTCCACAGGCATGTATGGATGGATGGATGGATGTTCTGAGTTTTTTATCTCGTTGGTTTGCGTTGCTTTGTCATACTTAACCTCTTTTATCCCTCCATTGTTTCCATTGCCAATGGAGTTGACTTTCCTTTTCATCTGTTTACCAGAGTCCCTAAATCAATGAACAAATTATCTACATAATTCCACGTTCTAGGTAGTAGTAGAAAAAGTGTTTTGGATCACGGTCATGCTTATCCGGTGCTCCGGAGGTGGGGGTCCTCTATAAACTTATCCATGTTGGATATTAAGTTCAAGATTGTGTCTCATTTTCCATTATAACTAGATCATAATCTGTGAAACGAGTGTAGTATACAGCAATCTCATCATTATACACGCTCAAATACATGACAAGAATCAATGAAAGATAGGAATTAAGAGATAGTACGACGAGGTAGAAAAAAGGTTCTGCTATTTGGCGCACCCTATAACCCCCCACTCAGGCTGTCGTCTGTTTTTCCAGTCCAGTGTCGTTAACGCCTGCCTATCTTCTAAAGGAACCAGTTCTCAATCTGTTCAAGGCTCAATAACATCCGAGGAAGAAACGCTAGAACAACGATATACGCTACCCAAATAAAATTCGTCGAGTCATTAGTTGATTAATGGTATCGTAAGTAGTGGTCATTCAAGGGATGAACATTGCGGCGACGGTCATGAAGCCGAAGTATCTGAGCCGTGTGGTTAGTTATTGTACTGTAGTAGAGGAGACCGGGAAGACATACATAGTGGCACATCTCCAGCCATCTCGAGAGTCAACGAGCTGGTCTGCGCTGGTGGAGTTGGTGGAGGCAATGATGGACGCAGCGACTCCTACGAGTGCGACTACAACAAGACGACCGGAGAACTCAGAGATCATGCTGAATGCGAGCAATGGTAGGAGAATGGCCGTAGAGGCAATGATGATGGTGGTGAAGATAGGCTTCGCGGTCGATGTAGAAGCCATGCGTGGAGTTAGAGAGATAAGGTCTTTGGAGTAATCGAGGAAACGTGTCTCAGCGGTGATGACGGGGTTGGTTTGCTTCATCCAGTTCCGGTAGGTGTCGATATCCTGCGTCGAGGCACGGGGGAGCGTTTGAAGGACCCTACTATATGCGCTGAGGGCATTATCTAGAAAAAGGGTTGTTAGCATTTGTATCGATGATTGGCGGGCAACTGGCACTTACTATATTGTTCGGTCTTTCGGGCTAGCGCTCCCAGGAGCTCCTCACGTCGGTAGTGGATGGAGGAGTACACCTGTGCTTGGGCATCCATACGCCGGGAGGCAGGGAGCATTTTTGTCCCCTCTTGTTCGGCCGTCGCGGCCCGTTGCAATTCCTCATACTCGTCCACTAGACGCAGGTCTTCCTCCATTTGTGCGATCTCGTCCTGAAGATGAAGCAGGACGCGATGGTTGAGATTCTCAAACCGGCGATACAGAGGAGGGAGACGGGGCTCTTGGCTCTCTGTGGCCGAGCTCAGCCGGGTAGCGAGAAGGCTATATCCGGAGATCTCTGAGGAGGATTTGGTGTTGCGTCTGTTCCGCCGTGTGGGCCGGTGAAGGTCTTCTTCAGGGCTTCGCGGCGGTGATGGGGGTAGTGGCGACCGATGAAGAGAGACAGAATTCTGAGGGTAATAGGTCTCCGGTCTTGCGTTCAAATCCACGCTTCGTTTCTCATAGTAGTTCGAGCCGTCGGGGAACGCCCCTACCGCACTGTATGCCCCATCCAGTGAGGGTTTATGTGCGGGGATGTGGTTCTTCACTGTGTTTGAGGTGACGGTGCTTGGGGAAATGTCAATTGAGCTAGGAGTCTTCTGAGTGTTCGCTGAGGACTTGGACATTATGGACGAAGTACGGCTGCGGGTATCAGTCCCTTGAGCGGCGGGGCGATACATCTGACGGACAGCGTTCTTGTATGCCCCCTTGGCATTATTGTTGGGTACGCTATGTAGCTGATGATGTTCGTACTCGTCATCAGACGAATCATCCGTTGTAGTCGAATTGTCTTCKAGGTACTCGAACACGTTGGGTGCTTTGCGATCGGAATCATGCTTGTTCTGAGTTGCTTGTGGCCGCGTTGTGGACCCGTTGCTGTTGCTCTTTGATATAGTAAATTGGGTTTGGCTGTCTACCTTGGGTTTGTCCACTGACAGTTTGGGGCCTTTGGTGGAATGCGAATTCGAAGAAATGACCGAAGCCGTGGACGCTCTGCTCGTCCCATCTTTTTTAGACTTTTTGGAACGAGTAGAGCTAGAGTAGAATGGCATCATGGGTAGATTGGGTAATTAATAGCGGTCAATATGGTAGCTTCAGAAGGCCGCAGCGAAAACTAGTGTTTCCGGCTTCAGGCCATACCCCAAAAGATGAATGGAGAGAACAATCAGAGTGTACTCTGAGGTGGTGACGGTGTTTGGAGGGGAAGCACCCAAGGCATATCAAGGGAGAAGGGTAGGGCCTCAGAGACGGCGCGAATCTCGGACGAGGGTTCAAGAATGTAGGACAGAATGCGGTTGATAGGTCTCTTCCTCCCTGTGTAGCGGATCGGAATTCCCTTGACAAGCGTAGTTTGAAGATCACTGAGGGACTATGGATCCCTCCAATGGAGATCCCGCCGATTAGCCGGTTCTTAGATCGGTTGGGGTCTAGGCAGTATAAAGAGAGCGAGAAAAAGAGAAAAAGTATAGATCGAAGGTAGACAGGACGAGAATCAGAACCGGAAATAGTCAACAGTAAATACTGGATGGACAAGGCGAATCAGCCCCCAACATCCAGGACGAAGATGAGACAGATCTCCGACAACAGCGACGAAGGAGAGCGCTGAACAGGTCCTTTTTTTGGACGCGAGGCAGCCTTGAGGGAGTCTCATTCGTGGTGGTAGGCGCCCCGAGTTCCTGATCTGCTCCGATCGCGAGGGGCACTTCCCTGTCAGACGGGAAGGACTGATGGTTTCTTTTTCTCGATTGCGAGATGGACGATTTATTAATACATTGGCTGAAAGGTGAGAGTGGTACAGAAGGAAGCGCAATGGAGAGCAGCGAAAGGAAGAGGGAGAAGTAAAGTGAGAGAAGAAATAAAGTAGTAAAAAGTGGGATGTGGAGGATCCACATGCGGTGGTTGAAGAGCAACTCGACTCTTTTTCTATACTACAAAACCATGCGGGCTCTCACTTGGGATCACTTGGGATCATCTGTCCCCCTCCACCATCGCTCGAGGCACTCATTTACTGGTACATCCTCGAAGTTTATGCTGCGTTGGCTGACGGTGACTCGCTGCCGATCCCACCTTGCATGACTGAAATTCTTCGGCGTTATCGTTGTTGGACACGATGGCTAAGGTCATCCATCCCGGCGATGAGTTGGTGAGAAGCCATTCATGTGCTGGGATTCTGTCCAGAGAGCCGAGGGATTTGGGTGGACGCCACTCAACAGTGTTTCGCCCTGCCTCTTATGTTCGTATTTAGCTTTTATCCCGCTCTCATATTTCTGCTTTGTTCCGCTGATCCGCGGGTTGAAGTTAAATGCATGACATTCCTTTCCTGGATGCTCTGGAAGCATGACTTGCAGCAGAACCGCTGGCACTGGCTGCGGCCGAGAATGTTCACAGCGCATCGCGAATAGGATGTCCTGGAACATCATTCGGGCATATCCTCATTGGTGCAGAGGATGATTATCTCATTAGTATTCCCGTCAGTTCCATCTCCTTCATTTAATTTAGTGTCTCTATATTGACTATCTCACTGATTGTATATCAGCGGTGAGGGTAATTACCGTATGGTACGGGCCGTGATCTCCGCCGCGCTTAATTCCCATTCAGATTCCAGACTCAAGATTCGTGCCAATTTCTCTGCCATCCCTCCCACCGCGACCAGCCCGATCTTCTCTACCTCTTGCGGATCCATCCTTTCGCCTACCTTCCTCGCCCTCGGGCTCATGCTTCGACCGTGGCTTCGGCAGTGCCCGCGAGCAACCCGCTCGCTCGCCTGCCCGCAATGCCATCTTCCCCGGCCGCAGACTGCCAGGCGCGCCCTTAGGCCCCTCCCTGCCTTGTCCCTTTCGCATCCTATCCGATCCCTCCAAACAACTACTACTGAGTCGCCGGACCGCATTCCCCTGCGAAAGCAGCTGAAACAGGATGCCAAGGCTGTCAAGGCGCGCAAGCGACAAACTCGAGAGAATGAGGAGGCATCCCGAGAGAAGTGGGAGTTGACCGTGGGCATTGAGATCCACGCGCAGTTGAACACAGAGTCCAAATTATTTTCGCGTGCGTAACTGGACTGTAGGCGATTGGGTCGAATTGTCTGGCTGATCGCTGAGCAGGAGCGTCTACGTCATCTACGGATCTTCCCAACTCGAACGTTGCTCTGTTCGATCTGGCATTCCCGGGGTCGCAACCGGTTTGTGGATAAATTCTCTATGCATGAGGTGCAGGTACTTACACATATGGTGTAGGAGTTCCAAATCGCAACGCTCCTCCCCGCCCTGCGCGCCGCCCTTGCATTGAATTGCGAGATACAGCCAGTCAGCAAATTCGACCGCAAGCATTACTTCTACCAGGACCAGCCGGCCGGATACCAGATCACTCAATACTATGGTAATCCAGCATCCTCTCTCCCCCCGCAGATGAGCGCTCTAACTCAGGGTAGAGCCTTTTGCAAAGAATGGCTATGTAGACCTGTTCCGCCACGACGGCATTGCGCCTGAGGACGGCGACACGGTTCGCATTGGCATCAAGCAGGTTCAAATGGAACAGGATACCGCCAAGTCGCAAGAATACCCGCCCTCAACGCAACTACTCGACTTCAACCGTGTCTCCCACCCCCTCGTCGAGATCATCACTATGCCGCAGATCCATACTCCCGCCACCGCGGCGGCCTGTGTTCGGAAGATCCAGTCCATCTTGCAGTCGTGCAATGCGGTGACAACTGGCATGGAGCTGGGAGGTCTGCGGGCTGACGTCAACGTCTCTATCCGCCAGCGAGGTGACACAGCCGGCACGCATCAGTACGGCGGCATCGGCGGACTCGGACAACGCACGGAGATCAAGAACTTGAGCAGTTTCAAGGCGGTCGAGGATGCCATCATTGCGGAGAAGAACCGGCAGATTGCCGTCCTTGAGAGTGGCGGGGTGGTAGAAGGTGAGACCCGCGGCTGGACGATCGGAAGCACCGAAACGCGCAAACTACGAGGCAAAGAGGGGGAGGTCGACTATCGCTATATGCCCGATCCGGATCTCCCACCTCTCTACATCGGTGCCGATCTCGTGGCAGCGCTCCGAACCAATCTTCCAACGTCCTCGGATGCGCTCATTGAGCTACTGGCCGGGCCGGAGTATGGGCTGCCCATCGAGGACGCGAAGCCGCTGGTGGAACTGGAAGACGGCGCGCGGTTGGAGTACTACCAGGAGGTCGTGGACCTCCTGCGAGCGCTGCAGTCGGACCAGGATCCCAAGGCGCAGAAAGGACTGGCGCGGGTGGCCGGCAATTGGGTTCTTCWCGAGCTTGGGGGCTTATGGGCTAAAGCGGAGGAAGCGTGGGATGCGGCGCGGGTGCCTGCCCCGACACTGGCCGCGCTGATCGACCAGCTGCAGCGGAAGCACATCACAGGACCCACGGCGAAGCAGGTACTTGCCATGGTGTTCGCGGGGGATGAGCGGCCGATCCCCCAGCTGCTGGAGGAGGAGAACCTGCTGCTGCGGCCACTGTCGCGCGAGGAGTATGTAACGCTGGCGGAGGCAGCAATCAGCTTGAACCCGGCAATGGTCGAACAGATCCGACAGAAGAACCAACTGGGCAAGCTGGGATGGTTTGTCGGGCAGATGATGCGTATGGGCGAGAAGGGACGAGTGGAAGCGCCGAGAGCAGATGCGATTCTGCGGGAGTTGATCCTGGATCAACGATAAGGTGTACCTGTACTCTGTATAGTATGTTGTAAGATAAAAGCAATAGATAGCAATAAGCATGCATGATACCCATCACACGGCGATTCCCCCACCCTTATCCCCGAGTGTCATCTGTCGGAAGTGAATTGCTAATGGAAACGGGCGGAGGAAGTGGATGCTCTCCTGGACCTGTACTTAGGGGAACAACCGTTCCCTAAAAGCAGGTCTTAGCGATCGCGGACGCCCCACGGCTGAGAATGCTTTTAACCGGCTCGTCGCCCCTGCAATCCGGTTTCATTCTTCTTTCTTTCAGTATTATTCTCTCTCTCTTCTTCTTCATTCCTCTCTTCATAACCTTCTTCTCTTTCCTCTCTTGCTCTTCTAAGGGTCCAACTTCTGTTGGTGGTGCTTTGAAGTCTACCTCGGATCGTCCCCACTCACGATCTTATCTCATCTTTGGGTCCGCCCTTCTAGAACCTTTTCTTTTTCTTCTTCATCCCACGCGACTTACCCCTCCAACTCTTCCCCTCACCTCTTCTCCCCCTCTCTCTCTCACATTATCACCATGACTTCTCCTTCGACAATTCGGCAGAGATTCCTCTCCAAGCCCAACCAGCTGGGCGTCGTGGCCGTTGGTTTCAATGGCGGGCAGGTACGTACAAAGAATTTCATGACGACGGATCCGTCGATCATCTAGTAGCGTGCATAGTAGGAACAAACCCCCCACTAACCACGCACTCTGGCCACAGTGCAAGATGGGCGTCGAAGCAGCCCCGATGGCTCTCGTTCAAGCCGGTCTGCTCGAGCAACTGCGCGACGATCTGGGCTACGAACTGCACTATGACGAAAAGGTCCACCACTACGAAGACAAGATGCCCGAGTCCGACCCCGACCACCGCGGCATGAAGAAGCCCCGGTCGGTCAGCGCCGTTACCGAGTCACTGAGCGCCCAGGTCTACGAGCACGCCAAGGAGGGCAAGTTCGTGCTGACCCTGGGTGGTGACCACTCCATCGCTATCGGTACCATCTCCGGCACGGCCAAGGCTATTCGTGAGCGACTGGGCCGTGAAATGGCTGTTATCTGGGTGGATGCGCACGCTGATATCAACGTCCCTGAGATGAGCCCTAGTGGTAACATCCACGGTATGCCCATGGCGTTCTTGACGCGCTTGGCTCGTGAGGAACAAAAGGATATCTTCGGCTGGCTGCAGGATGAGCATATTATCAACACCCGCAAGCTGGTATACATCGGTCTTCGGGATGTGGATCGCGGTGAGAAGCAGTTGCTTCGTGAGCATGGCATTAAGGCGTTTAGCATGCATGATGTTGATCGGTAGGTTTCCTCCTCCACCTTCTTACCCTTAAGTATCCTCCGATGATGCAGTGGTGTTCTGACAACCTGCAGGTACGGCATTGGCCGCGTGGTCGAAATGGCCCTGGCGCACATTGGCAATGACACGCCGATCCACCTGTCGTTCGACGTCGACGCGCTGGACCCGCAGTGGGCGCCTAGCACGGGTACCCCTGTGCGTGGTGGACTGACGCTGCGCGAAGGTGACTTCATCTGCGAGTGTGTGCACGAGACGGGCAACCTGGTGGCGATGGATTTGGTGGAGGTGAACCCCAGCCTGGAGGAGCATGGAGCTAGCGACACTATTCGGACGGGATGTTCGATTGTGCGGAGTGCCTTGGGAGATACTCTGCTGTAGGTGCAGTGGCTGCGAATACTTATGGAAAGAACTAGAGTAGACTAGATAACTAATGAGCAATCTGAAACTAAATCAATATTAAAGCTTATCCGGAGTAACATTAGTTAGTGTGAGCTTGACTACTGCGGGATGGATACATGGATGGATGGATGGTTGTAGATACTAAATTTACCCGCCCTGCCACCGCATTAGTTTCGTCCTGCCACCGGAATTTCCAATGCCCATCATGAGTAGTACTCCATAATTGTCTTTCATTCTCTAATTTACTCTTCTTGCATTCTTTCATTAAACTTGTCACTTGTCATTCCTTGATTTTTTTTTCTCCCTCATTTTCTCCATACTCTGATCCCTACACATCAAGCACAGTTCTAGACCCGCCAGGCATCATATCATATCCGCCCAACCCACGCCTCGTCTCGCCTCGCCCCAGCTCCCCATTGCGGTCAACCCCGATGCGTTGTCAATACTAAACAACCTAACCTAAACCAAGTTGAATGAGGTTAAGGCGGAGTCATTGTTTCAGCCTGATGATATAATGCGATCTTTATCTCAGCATACCCCGGAAGATTCTTGATACATACCTACCTACCTACTACACCTTATCTTTCACCACTCTATATACATCACCAACCCAATTGTCTACTACTATATACCAAACACATTTTCCTACTACACACCACCACTCCAAGAAAAAGAAAAACAACTAAAATGGCAATGCGAATCTACCACCGCCGTCCCCGCCGGTACCACTGGCCGGAACTCCAACTCAACATCTGGATCCTAGTGGTTCTCTCATCCTCCGCAATCTGCCTGGGCATATTTGCCTGGTTCATGACAGTCCAAAATGATCTGGGATTAGAAGTTCCTTGGTACGCTAACCCCCAATTCCACCCACCCTCAACCCTTCAACCTACTATACTAACCCCAGAGGACGGGATAGGTTATTCCCCTACATGATAACCACCGGCGCGCTGGGCATCTTCTTCGTAATATTCATCCTGATCCTGGCGGCGCAGCGCTTTCTCCTTCCGGGGATAATCATAGTAGGGGGGTTTATTCTCTTCGTGCTGTGGTTGACGGGCCTGGTGGAGACATCGCTCCAGCTGTATGGGGTTGTCGCGAACGTGAATGATAATTGTCGGAATTATATCGATAATGTTAAGCCTGTGGCGGATGGGTGGAAGACATTGGCGTGGATTGAGGAGGAGACGATTTGTGAGTGTTACATTCTTTTTTTCCTTCCGGGGGAGGTGTTTGGGGTAAAGGGTATTTGCTAATGGTGTTTGGTGCAGGCAATTGTTGGAGAACGGCGTTTGCGTTTGAATTGGTGAATACGATTTTTTATGTCTGGATGATTATTATGTCGTGGCAGGTTAATCGGGATCTTTATCGATAACTTTCCTTACTTCTTTTTCTGAAGAAAGGAGGGGGGAAAGAGGGGGGGGAGTTATGGTTCAATTCATGTATTATGAGATATGATTGTATGATTTCAATGGATGATATAGAGCTCTTGCTCGGTCTTATACTACTTGGTTACTAGGCATCAGTGGCATGCAGCTATATTCAGTGTTGTATTTTCCTATATATCTCAAACGCCCTCGCTATGCCATCACTTATTGGCAAACATGGCAAACATGGCAATATCACAACGCCAAATACATCCAACTCAAATATCCCAAACCAACTACCTATCCGTTCTCATTTGCAATTTGTTCCTCCGCCTCCGAATTGTAATCCCCTCCCTCAAATGCAGCCATCATCTCGCGCTCCAGCTCGTCATCCTCATCTGCTGGATCCACCTCTGCTGGATCAGGCGGGCTCGACTCTTCAGCAACCTGCTCCGGCTCCTCTGTCCCCGGCTCAGTCGCAGATGCTGTTGTACTTGCTGTCGACTCTACCGTCCCTGCACTGGCTACCTCCTTCAACCCCGTGCTGCGCTCGTATGACCGCTTGATCCGCTGCGATAGCCGCGAGCTTGGCTCGTCGCCCTCGCCAGCACTATCCGTCTCCTGGTCATCGTCGCCCTCGCCGCCTTCTCCTTCCTCGCGCTTCCGCTTCTTGCTGGCAGGAGTGCCTGGTTCATCCATGAATGTGGCTTCGCTGTCGCTCTCGCTCTCATCGTCACTACCCAGGAACTCTTTCAGCTCTTCGTGGACCTCGGCCTGCTCCTCGTCGTCGTAGCCGAGGGGCGACATTTCGGATATGCCTGCGGATTTGAGGATTTCCTCTGTTGCCTCTTCGTCATCCGCTACAGAGTCGCCCGTCGCCTCGTCCGACGATGAGAGCCACCCGCTCTCCGCTACCTCTTTGGATCCCGGTGAGATTGGCTCGCCGCGGTCGTCTGGGTGCACGGGAAGGAGGTACGGTTCCTCCGCTAAGCGCTTCCATTGCGTCAGGCAGTCCAGGAGCCATTGTGTCGTAACGATCTTGACTTTCGGGTACCGAGTTGCTTCGCGCACTTTGNCTGTGCGGTTTCGGCCCGCAACGAGATGCGTGGTSTTCATGTTGATCTTTGATGCAATGACTGCCCCGAAGCTCTTCGCCCAGAGGRAGATGTCGGCGTTTTGTGTATCCGTGCCGAGGGGAAGCACGCCCGAGAACACGAGGGTCACGCCGCCGAGGATACGATGCTTCATGTTGGGCATGATGATTTTGACGTCCGGTACGAGTTTCAGGTCGACGTCCTTCTCCTTGGACGGGGTCTTCTCGCCGCGCAGGGCGGCGACTCGTCCGCCCAGTGCCCGTGAACGTCGTCTGTCGTATTCGTCGAAAAAGTCTCGGTGTACTTGCTCCAAACGTACCTCGAGGTCGAACAGCTCCCGATCGTTGTCCTCCAGTAGGTGATGTCGGTGCTTGCTCATATCTTGTGAGTCGTCTATGCTGCTGGATGTATCGCTGCTCTCTGCTGCATCGTCCTCCGCGTCTAGCTCCTTTTGCTTCTGCAGTAATGGTCGGTCCTCCACTTGATGCATGATTGTCTCCTCTTGTGCATCACTCTGTTCTTGTAGTAGCCTGGGATTATCGCCGCCACCCATGGTTACCAGCTGCTCCAATGTCGATACCTCTGTCTGGTCGTCTCTCTTTGCCGTCGCCCCGTTGACATGATGTTCCGCCAAACCCCCCTTGGCGGCCTTCGCTGCCGGCTTCTCACCCCCTTTGCTGGGAGGTCCCAGCTCCTGCTTCTTCGGGAGGAAACTAGAGTTGATGTCCCCGATGCCGACGAAGAAGTCGTACGGCGACACCTTGATGAGATTGGGGTTCCAGCGCCAGACGTCCCCGCGGTCATCGATAATGACGACCATCTTGGTGTCCACCGGGAATAGCCGGTGCAGGTTCTTGGCCACCAAGCTGCCACTCTCATCTCGGCTGAGAATACGGTCACCAAAAAGTTTGCGGTCTGGATCTATGATACTAGCGATATGTTGCGCATAGGACCTCGTTCCCATGGTGTAGATATGCAGCTCATACATCTCCGACACATTCTGCAGAAACGACTCTAGCCCTGGTCGTAGCTTCACATAGTACCAGCACCCGCGCATTCCCGGCCCATCGTCTACCAGCTGAAACGCACGCACATCGCTCAGAAGCCTGATAATTCGGGTTCTCCTTATCCTCCATCCACTCTCCGACAGTCGGGTCGACGGTAGCATGAATAATGGTTTGGTCCAGATCGACGACAAGCGATAGTTTCCGATTCGCCAGTAAGCGGCGCTTCGCATCCTCTTCAACCCGCGTAGCTTCTTGTTCACTAACAGTCAACGTAGTATTATCGTGGGCCATTTGAATCGGCGCCCGATGCACATCAGTCACCTCGGTATTGTACGAAAAACTGCACCACAATCGTAAGTCAGGCCCAACACAAAAACACCCGGGACCACTTACTCAGTCATATCCTTGCCACAAATGGCACAGAGCCCACCAAACTGAACCTCATGAGCACATGGCTCATCGATTTCCAAAACATCGACCCTAACCAAATATTAGCATCCCGATACCAGATCCAAACACATCACAGCAGGGCGTCGGAACATACGGCTCATCAATAACATCCCCCTTTGAAATCTTCCACTGCACCACCTCCCCATCAACCGTCGACTCAAACTTCGTCGGAAACTTGCGCTTCACATCCACCTTATTTCCCAGCCCATCCCCCTCCGTCACAGTCGTCTGGTACACATACCAGAACAGCGCCTCATCCCGTTCCACCTTATCACCGGGCTGTTTCAGCAGCGACGTGACGGTGATCGGGTAATGGAGGCTAGGCGGTAACCGGAGAAGCATGCCTGGATAACTCTTTCACACGGCTCGGCTCAGCAAGCTCTCCTAGTATATGTAGGTATCCAACCCCCCTCCTGCCTCCCTAGCACCGAGAGCGAGGCAGTGTCGGGCGAGGGGCCGCGGACGGGTTTGTTTTCGATAGCGAAAGGAAAAGAAAGGAAGAAAGGAAAGGATCGAGCTTGAAGCTATGAAGCCATTCCCGAAACTTCGGCCGTCGGGAGGAACAACAGCAAGCTAGCTTGATCGCAGCGGCGCACGAGAATCTCGATACGAATAAGTGTGCTTAAATGGAACGAGGTCAGGTGGACAAGTGATGGAGTTGTCGCGGGATGGTTCGCCACGCCAGGACGCGACGAAGACAATAAGGCGGGCGCGGGTTTGCGCTGTGGAGATGTGTTGGGTTAGAGGTTGAGAGCGGGTCAATCTGGGCTCGTGTTATCGAGCGCAGACTAAGTGACAGGGAAGCGATCGGATATGAAGATCGAAGAGCGGTTGAATAGAAGGGCAGGCGTGGGAGGATGATGAAACAAAGACCGAGCAGAGAGAAAGCCTGGATGGAGGAGGTGGTGAGAGCGTGATGAAGAAGGCTTGGCTGCCAAGAGCGCTGCTTGGGTTTGGCGCCTGGCCTGTGCGGGGCGAGACTCGCCGGCCCAGACTTCGGCTGGTACCGCGGTTGCTGGTTATTGTGACTGCATCACACGGTTTACGCCATTTGCATTCATGTTTAAGGTGTTACTATCATATTTCATACAGTCAAGATTCTCAGTGCCCAAATAAAGGTCAAATAATATCACCGGCTTTCCATTGAAGATCCCTAGAATCTATCCGGCAACCGCTGCAAACATGAGGAAAACCATTCACAACATCACGTGTGTTCGTCTGCAAAAATCATAGATCAAGCTACAAGAAGCAATAATGACAGCAMCAGCTGCATCATAGATACCACATCAACCCGCAGAACTAATTTACTTGGCCTTGGCCAGACCAACAGCGCTGTTGCCCAGGTCATACACGCTGTACCACTTGCGCAGGAACGCATCGCCCAAAATGGCCAAGGGACCAACCGGCTCAGGGAAGTCCATGCCCATGAAGGCACTGACGCAAGAGCCCTGCACCTCCAAGGTGTAGTCATACGAGGAGATGGTGAAGTTGTGGCCGGCAAGGGTGAAAGTAACATCGGGCAGGGACGAGCGCTTGTCGCAGTCAACGGTGTACTGGCCGGTCCAGCCCTTCTTAGCACCGATCTGAGCATTGCTAGAAGGTTGTTAGCAGCATTTCTTTTCAACCCAGGAATCCGAAGAATTCGACTTACATCATCTCAGCCAGGTCAGCAGGCAGAGCAATCAGGGAGGTACCAGTGTCCAGAATGACACCGGTGTTCTCCATCTCAGCAACATCATCGCCAAGAGCAATGGCGTCAAGCTCAACCTCCCAGTAAGCCTTGCGACGGAGGGGAATCTTGATCAGCTCGCCGGTGTAGTGGTCCTTGTCGACACCACCGAAGGTCGCCACGGACTCGTCACCCTCCTTGTTGGTATCTCCAAGGTAGAAGGCAAAGACCGGCTCGTCGAGGAGTCCCTGGTCAAGCATGTTGTAGAAGGGAGGAACAATCTTGTTCACGGAGATGGTGTCATAACCCAAGCCGAGAATGCCATCGAACCGGCCGAAGGCAAAGGCAAGGCCAGGCTCATTGGTCGCCTCAGCGAAGTCCTGTCCCTTGACCTTCAGGTCGCCAATCTTCAGGGTGTCCTGAGAAATGAATCCGCTAAGGCTGCCAGAGCCGTACTTGATGGCGAATTCACTGCCATTCTTGTGATACGTACTGGAGGCAGACGAATCATACTTGTTGTGGAGGTAGCAGGCGATAGAGCTGCATTCGCTCGAAGGAACCCAAAGGTTCGAGCTGCCAGTGTCCAGGACAACCTTGAACTTCTGGGGGGGAGTACCCAGCTCGATCTCAGAGAAGTCTATGGCAGGAAGGGTCAGCAGTTGCAGCCATAAGAAGACGGTATCTCCATACACTGTGCGTTCAGGAAGTTGTCCACCAGAACATCATGACGGCTCATGTCATTGATAGGGTTCTCCTCGACCAGCTCTTTGTGGATGGACGGGCGGATACCCATGTACTTCTGGCCCAGAGCGCGGACATGGGCGTCGATGTTATGCGTGTACTATAGACCACGAAATCAGCTTTGAATGGTTCTGGAGCTTCTTTGAAGCTAACTAGCTAAAAAAAACAAAGCAGTGAAAGACCACACTCACAAGCTGCTCTTCCAGAGGCACCTTGTTAAGCTTGAGCTTGTGAACCTCGGCGGAGGCACAGCCCAACAGCACGGATGCTGTGAGCAAGGAGGCTGACTTCATGATGGGCGACGGCGGAAACGGCTACCCAGCGGGATATGATGGACTGGGCCAAACGACTGAATGATGCACGTATGAATAGAAAATGATGATAGAGACAAAGAACGATGAAGAAGAGATGGAGGATAGCAAGGGAAAAGAGGAGGTCTGGGGGTAGGGAAGAGTGATGCGGGTGACTTGGAGCCGGGCGGCGCTGGTTGCGGAGCGACCTGCCAGGTCGCAGCCAATGGTTGGCCAGCCCGGCTGCGTCATTTGGCAAGGGGATCGTCACGGGTTATCGCTCCAGGTGATTGTAGCTGCCAGGTCTTCCAGGTACATCTTCTCTAGGCTCTTAACGATCAGGTACAATAAGCCTGATCTAGCTATCCTATCTTTCCATCATTATATCTACCTTTGAGTCTCATTCAGAGCTGTCTGGAAGGTCTCCTTGCTACCTGAGGCCTTATCGTGATGGTCGGATCACGCGAATCCGAGCGCGGGTGATGATGTAAGACCGCCTTAGGTTCCCGGTGCCTGCCTACTTCAAACTAGCGCAACCGCCTTACCAAACTAGCCAACAGCTGCGGACAGGTCCTATCTACCTATCGCTGACCTGTCTACCAAGTAGGCAGCAGACAGCCAGACACGTACTCCTGTAGATCATGGGAAGCTCGGGTAGCCGTCCAACTGGAGCTTACATATGCTAAATCACCGCCCCAGCCAAGTGGCGGTATTAACGTGGGTTACAGTTCTACAAGGTACTTGGCCCCAACCGATAAGACTACCCCAGCGGAATACCCAATGCGTCAGTCGTTGTCCTAATATGAAATAGCCTAGATGTTGATAATACAGCTAACGGTCCCCCTGTTCGCCTTGCGTAATCCGATATCCAGCCTGATGCACGTCCCATACTTGATTTACCGGTAGAATTCGAGTCTATATGCTTGGTTAGCCATGTCCCGATCGCGGGTAGATTAGAAAATGTCCCGTACCTATCCGCTTCCTGTCCGGTCTTCACCTGGGCGGCGTAAGCATCCTCGAGATCAGACTGGATGATGTTGTAACGGTTCTTCCGGACAGCACGGAGACCCGCCTCTTGCATGATAGCGGCAATGACCGCACCCGAGAGGGGCTCATTGCGCACAATCAGCGAGTCCAGGTCAACTTCCGGCGAAAGCGACATCTTGGATGCTATCGTAGAGAAAATCAACCGGCGCTCACGCCGGTCGCGCAAAGACGGGAACTCGATCTTCCGGTCCAGACGACCCGGACGTAGCAAGGCCGGATCCAGAGTATCGGCTCTGTTGGTGGCCATGATAACCTTGACATTGCTCGACTGCTCGAATCCATCCATCTGGTTGAGAAGCTCCAGCAGAATACGCTGCACCTCACGGTCTGCACCGGTCTGGGCGTCGAAACGCTTCGTGGCGATGGCATCAATCTCATCGATGAAAATGATGGCCGGGGAGTTCTCCCGCGCCATTCTGAAAACATCACGAACCATGCGAGGTCCTTCACCCAGGTATTTCTGAACGAATTCCGAGCCGTTTACACGGATAAAGCTGGCGGTTGTGCTGTTTGCCACCGCCTTGACCAGCATGGTCTTACCCGTACCGGGAGGGCCGTAAAGGAGAACACCGCGAGGAGGGTCGATACCTATTTCCAGCATCAATACTCTGCTCTTACCAATGAGAACAGCAATAAGAGGAGACTAAGCTCACCGATCTGCTTGTAAAGGTCAAATTGCGTCAAGGGCAGCTCGACTGCTTCCCTGATCTCCTGCTTCTGCATGTCAAGACCACCAACATCCGCATAGGTCACATCAGGCTTCTCATTCTCGCCCAGCATAGCGATGGAGGAGTCAGCCTCCGGAGGTAAGATATCGACAAGGGCGTTGGAGTGACGGTGGAGTGCGACCGAGGACGAAGGCTTGAGCTTCTCGCGGTCGAGCGTGGACAGGATACGGACGACATAATTCGAACCGGTCGACGACTGCACAATACCGGTACTGCAATAATTAGTTATTGGTTCCATGTCGAAAGCTCTGCGCGGCACCATACTTCTGATCGATCGCCTCCATGAACTGGCCGATAACCAAAGGCACACTCTGTATCCGCTTGATCTCTTCCTGCGCACGAACAAGTTCTCTCTTCAAGCTCCTGCACGGGTAGCAGACGTTAGCTCGGGCATGAAAAGCTCGGAGGAAGATGGTATATAGCTTGCCTTTGCTCATCCTTGATGTACTCCTCCTGAAGCTGAATGTACCTGTTATTGAAGAGTCAGCATGTGCCGCGGCAACATCATCACCGTTAGAACATACTCTAGGTGTCTCTGCAATCTCTTCAGTGTGGCGTATTCATCGCTCCCATCGTTTCCTGTGCCCTCGAGCGAGTCTATGTTGGGGATCGTGTCCAATGGAGCTGCCTTGGTGAGAGGCGTGACGTTGTTCGCCGGGGTCTCGACGGCGACGTCTCCCATGGCGGAAATCTGGTAGTAACCGGAGCGGGTGTGAAAAGAGCAAGCGCAGCTAACTGTAAGTTAAAAAAAGAATATGCCCCAGAGAATAATGGATCGATCAGTGGTGGGCAAGTTGGGAAGGATTTGGCTCGTTGGATCTATTGCGTCGATGCCAGACAGCCCGGCTCACGAAGCTCACGGGTAGAGGTCATGTGACTTGGTAGCTCGGCGGCCCAGCTGATACAGTGGCGCAGGACAAAGCCTTTCGCTCAGTCATGATCGATAGCTAACAAATTGGCACGAACAACTCATTCAATTTCATCGATGGCTAATAAGTGTATTTGGTATATTTCCAGGCTTTGACTTATTCAAAATATAATTACACAATTTGTAAATGTACTTTTGTGGCCTGATGAACGTCTGCTAAAAATTGTTAGCTGCCGATCTATATACTTCGATGGTTCCCGTCAGAAATAGAGGCCCTCCCAACAGTAACAAAAAGCATCCAGCTGCTATTGCGAGACATAGGCCGATATATCTGGGCTTGTACCCTAATCGCTCCTACATCGAATTCATCAATTACTAAGCTATGAGGCTGGCGACGTTTGCTATCATCCTGTACTAGGTAGGACTCAATAACGCCGATTTGGCGGACGACCAAATCGAAGTTGGCTACGGACATACAGATGACTTGCAAAGCGTAACAAACATAAGGCAGTGTGCCTGTGCCCTGTTTGATGAGATAGAGGGTAGATTACATCGAGTTAAACCAGGCATTTGCGGAGGACAAAGAACTCCCCATTCATCAAATCGCGTATAGTACTCCTTCGTAGGCCCGAAGATTCCAGACTCAGTTGGGCTGACTGAATGCCTAAATTGGGAATGGTGCATGGCCCACCATCCACACAGTCACATGACTTATTGATTACCTAATACCATTCATGAAGCCTAATCCGGTAAAATCACCAGCAGGCTGGATATGGAGGCTTATTCTCTGGGTTCAGATAGTAACAAGACACGTTGTGAGCTCTGTTCAGCCAATAGCATCAGCGGCCACAGGGGTTTCGCTGCGAGGGCTTTGGAGATAAGGTGCAGTCCCTGCATGTGATGCCATCGCCTCTATAGGAATTCTACGTCGTCAATTATCCCTCCCATGCGAAAGTGAGCCCGCAGGTTGACGGCGGAATGCCACGAGCTGGTAGGACTGTAATGAGCCATGATATATATGGCAGCTTGATACTTATACACTTGTACAGGTGCCGCTTGCCTGACCTGCCGGCAAAAATGCCGCAAGTGTGATCGTGGCCGTCCGAGTTGTCAACGATGTGTCTCCAAAGGTTTAGTATGTGGAGGATATCCAGAACGGTTTAGGTTCTGCGGAATTGCCAGTCGAGGTAAATGGAAGGGTGCTAGGATACCAACCAGCAGTAGAAGCTCTACCGGTGGTCGATCAGGAATAAGCAATGCTATGTCGGATACCCAGGTGCCACCGGCCCAGGAAGTCACCGAGACTACTCACCTAGACTCGGAGGGTGACCAAGCTTCTGCAGCCATACTCAACGGTAGCTCAAAGACGACACCCAAGGGACTTTCTGTTTCTGAAAAGCCATCCGAAGCTTACAGTCGGCCACTGGTAGAGCTTCCAGACGATGTAACCACACTTCTTGATTCGCCCAACACAGCCAGACTGTTAAGCCACTGTAGGCTTTACCCCTCGGACCATTGTTAGAAAACACTAACAATACGCCGCAGACGATGAGATTATTTGCCCTCATCAGATAGCCGAGGTTGGGGATGACGCGGAGAACCCTTACCGAGCGTATATCCTCCCGCTGGCGCGCAAGAAGATCGGGCTATTGTATGCTGTTCTTGGGCTTTCTGCTTCGCACCTCGGGCGGATAACTGGTGATGAATTCTTACACGAAGCCACGGCGGTTGAATACCGTATGAAAGCTATACGTGCCCTGAGCGAAGAAATTCGGAAGAGCCAAAGGACCTCTTTACTTGAAGACGAACAGGACACCGTCTTAGCGATAATTCAAGTCCTGTTGCTTCATGATGTAGGCTTTGGATGCCCCCATTCGTGGCCTGAGCATCTAAGCTAACATGAAGATAGATTTCTGAATCAGGGGTATCGAGCCATGGCATTCATATTACAGGTGCTATGTCCGTCTGCAAACAACTTTTGATTGCTGAGGGGCTGCATGGCCGACGCCAGCGCGCCATGTTCTTCCTCGGTAACCTGGCTTGGTATGTTGAACCAGGCCTGCTGTTTCCGATACAAGGCTCACTAGTGAACAACCAGGCTTGACATAATTCGAGCGTCCGCTGGCCCCGAGAGAATGTGCTTTTCTCAAGATATTCGCGAGTTAGTCGCTTGCGCCAGCGATAGAAAGTTCGAATTGGTGAATGGGTGCCCGAGAGAAGTCTTTCTGGCTATCGGCGCAGCACTGGAAAAGGCAAAGGAACATACACTGGGCTGGCTTACTTGGGATGAATATCAAATCGCCCTGCTCCTAGCAAAGCACAAGCTCTATGCATGGGACCCAAAGGGAAGAGAGTACCCTAGCCATGATCCTCGCTGGCTATCCATAGCGGAGGCTTTCCAGTTTGCATGTATCTTGCGTATTCTTCGGCTGCTAGACCCGTTGAAGCCAGCTAGCAGCTCTGATATACAGGACTGCGTTCGAAGGATTCTTGACGCGACGGCGACGATTACTCCGGATTGCTCGTTACTGGAAATCCTTGTATTCCCACTCTTTATGGCAGGTTCCGATTGTCTCTCGCGCCATTCGCAGTATTATGTTCTTACGAGATTGCGCGACGTTGAGCGTAGATCGGATTTCCGCAATCCGGTCCCTGTTGATTTACTAAGAAAGGTTTGGGATGCTCGTGCGGCCCAGACCGAAGATGATCATACAAATATCTCATGGACAGCATTTGTAAGTGATAGTTTTCAAATCTCAGGTTTTCCAGGCTTATCATTCGATCTAGACACACTTTCCCGGACTGGCACGGCAGCATGACTACCTAATCATCTAAAGATATACGCACATCGATTACTATCGATAATCATGCTTCGTATTTGCAGGGTCTGAAAATCGCCGGTGGATTGTCTATTGTCTACCTAGAAGTTGATCGCGAATGATGACATATTGTAAATGCTGCTAGATCATTAATTTTCAGAGTCCTTGCGCTGATCAGGATCCATGTTCGTTTCAATCCGACGAATTACGCGGGCTGGATTTCCGGCAACAAAATGAAAAGGAGGAACGCTCTGGGAATTAGATTAACCGATGAGTCCATAAAGACAATAGCCAGCAAATGATGTATAACATACCCTCGTCACCACAGAGCCAGCGCCCACCGTGCTTCCTCGTCCGATAGTAACACCGGCTAAGATGATTACACTGCCTCCTATCCAGACGTCGTCTTCGATATGTACTTCCTTGCCGGCTTCTGGGCCCTCCAGACCTCGTCGCACAGCCGGGTCCATGGGATGGGTAGCCCCGTAGATACAAAGATTGGGCCCGGTAAGCACCCTTTCACCAATTGTCACGAGACATGTGTCCAGGACAAGAAGGTTGAAGTTCAGAAAGGTTTTCTTGCCCACTCTGAAGTTCAAGCCGTGATCGACTGAGATGGGAGGATCGACAAAGGGATCCGTATCTTCAAAAAGCTTCTCATCCTCCTGGGGATTGGGATGGACCGGAGGTAGAGGGCGCGTATCACCTAGGATGCTGTACATCGGGTAGTCAGTTTAAAGAGCGTTCTTAAAGGCCGGTAGAAGATCTTACTCCCGCCAGAGCTCCACCTTGCGACGCCGGGAGACTTGACCAGCTTGATTGAATCTGTCGCATGCTTCTTTGCAGCGTTGTCGATTGGCCTGAAGGTCTGCATCCCAAGCATTGTAGAGCTCACCATTGAGCATCTTCTGCCATTCTATCGATGTCGTCATGGTTCTGATTTGGAATGCTGTCAGGTTATGTGATGCTTAAGAGGAAGAGGCGGATGTGAGATTGTAGCACCATTATATAGCATTTGTGAACGGGCTAAAATAACTTGAATCTTTCGAACTTGGGTCCCATTGTAGAAGTTGTGGCCATTCATGTTCCAGTGCAACGAGCTGGCGGGTTGGGAATACTTCCGAATTAGGCAGTTTATACCTCGGCCGGTGCAAGGTCACAACTTCCAGCTTGTGGATACGCCGAACCAGAACCATGAGGAGGGGTTTGCTGGAGACGATATGATTCACTTTTGTTCTTTCACTATGCATAAGCTGCCGTGCTATAATTATGGGGTTGGATTGATATCTATGCATGCTATCGTGACAGGAAATTAGATAGTAAGGAGACAGCATGCTATACAAAAAACATGAGTACGGTATTCGATGCCGGACGGATTTTGAGACAATGTAACGTCCTCTCACTGTAGCTCAGTTGACAGATGATGCATGTATAATTTCTGCATCACAGATAATAGTATGTTAGTTCATGATCTAGAACAACACCAGTAAGAATCAGGGATCAGGCAGGATCTCAGGCTGCCACTGATGACGTAATACACAACCCGTCATGGCGATTAACTAATCTGCCACCAGGGTCCGCCTACTCAATCGGCTCACCCCTTTCACCCGCTGCCCGACTGCTACCGACCTGTGCTCCTGCTCCTGCTGCTTGCTGCTTGCTGCTGCTCCAGGCTGGTTGCTGCTGCTACGTACTACCGGTAAGATAAAACTTACTGGAAACCCTTACGCCAGTCCCATCCGAACTTACCTATCGTTTCTTGTTCCCTTGTCCCGTCTGGCTGAATTCTGATTCTCGACTCGTGAGGCGCGCCTCTGATCACTCCACGCCCGTCCCCATTCCTGCCTTCCCAACCCCGTGTGCCTCTCCACCTTTCCAGAAGGAGACGCCCCCTCCCTTCCCTTGGGAAGCAAAAAAGGAATCTAGAAATCCAAAATTAATCGGTGCAAATAAAATACCAGTTTTCCAGGTACTGCAGTGTACCGAATCTTTACGGAGCTTTAAGTCCAGGTACGCCTGTCATTCCTCACTATTGATCCCACCCCCCGCTTGTCTCCCAGTCATTGGATTTGCCTTCCACACGCCTCACACAACTGTGGCCACGCACTAAGTGCTGGCCACCCTTTCACCCATTCCTCGGCAGTACCGCGCACGTTGCTCAAAAGCCATCGCTGGTGGTCCTTTCTTCCATGGGTTGCCGGCCTTTCTATGGCTGATCCATCATTCTGCTTTTGATCATTTTATTTTCTGCAGCTTGTTGTCATTCTAAAATCCACCTGAAACNTCCACCCCCCATACTTCCCAAGATCGCCTTGCGATTTGCTGATCGGTCTTCTGCCACTCAGTGCCGCTCGCAACGCCGCTGCTAATCCTCACTGGATTTTCTGCCTTTTTGCGGTACCAGCGACGTTCCATGGTSCCGTGACCTGCTCGATCTCCTCGCAATCTCTCTYTCCGGCCTTCCAACCACTGCTATTCGGGACCGGCCTCCATCCGCTTGTGAGTCGGCATTTTTAGTTGTCCAGCCTTGTCGGTATGTACATCCTGCCTGTCCCTTACAATTTTCCTTTTTAAGAAATCATCAATCCACCCACCCCAGATTATCCCATCCCCCCCCGTCTCTCCCCCAGCTACACGTTGGGGTGGCTGTCCTCGGTGTGGTGTGTGGTCGCTGCTTCGTGTCGCAGAGCGACAGCGCGACACCCTTCACTGTCAGCTTCCTCACCTGACGCGTCTAGACCCTCTTCCACCCTACAAACATGGGAGATTGTGTCATTTACCCCTAAAAAATAAGCTCGTGATGACTGTAACACTGCTGTTCTTATCGGTCGCGTATCGATGATGATCTTGGTGCTCGTGTCATTTTTCTGACAGCTCTGGTTACCTTACAGATGGGTTGGTAAAACCACTCGACATGAATGCCTGGCTAGCCGACGCCTCGAACCCTCCGAACCATGACA